GGGTTCATGTGGCCGGCGTTACAGGCCTCGAGCATGCTGCTCACGGGCGTCATGAGGATACCCGGGAGGATGGCCTCGACGAGTCGCACAGCCTCTGGGTTTTCGTAGTCGTCGGCGTCAATGTTGTTTTCAAAAAAGTGGCGCAGGCCCTTGAAGCCGTTGATGTAGGCCACGCGCGTCGGGATCTGCACGCCCATGTTGGGGAAGAGCGTCGCCGGCGCCTGGCCCGTGAGCTTGGCGTTCAAGTACGAGTTGAGCGCACTGCGGTAGAAGCTTTCGACGGCAGCGGCGACTGACGTTGCAAAGATCGGCGTCGGCTTGGCGTGCTGTTCGAGAAGCGGCGTCTGGAGAAGGTTCATGTGGCGGCGAATCTCGCGGTGGAGCGAGTACATGACATCGGGTGCAATCTCGGGGTCCATGAGCGCCTTTGTGAGCACGTCCGCGTCCATCTTGTAGCCAAACACAGGCGTCGCGCACTTGGCGGTCGCGGCCGACGCATCGCGGCGCAAGACGTGGTTGCTACCAAGCGCGTTGCCCGGCGTAATGTCGCCCCACGAGTGCATTTGGCCCGAGATCTCCTTGGTCTCCTGGATGACACCGCTCGAGACGACGACGAGGCTCTCCATGGGCACGCCCTGCCGCGAGAGCACGTGGCCCTTGGCGTACGAGACCGGCGCGGCTTGCGCGCAGAGCTTCTTGAGCGCCGCGTCGCTGCAGTACGAGAACATGCGCACCGAGCCAAACTTGTTGACGCAGTCGACCTCTTGGTCCTTCGAGAGACCCATGTTGCTGGCAATGGACGACGAAGAAGCGCGGGCGATTGGGATCGAAGCGGCGGCAGGTGGCAGCTCCGCAGACAAATGAATTCTGTCGCCACCGGTCCCAAACCTTCGCTTCGCAATCGCGCAGCCAATCAGGATGCGCCGGTCCGTGGCTGCCCAGGATACCGTGGGGCCCCCGCCCCGGGGTCCTGGGACACGGCGCGATTACCAAACGCTCTTGGCGCCTGTTGTATTGGGTGTTTCTATGTCGCGGCCAAAGGTTCCACATGCATCCGCGGCGTGGGGGGACCCGGGGCACGGAACGAATCTCATGGGACAGCGGCGCCACACGAATTTTTTAACGGTTGCATACAAACGTCAAGACGATGCAATTTAATGATCGATCTCAAACCAAATACGTGGCAATCGGCGCTGATGCAAAGCTTGAAGCTGCGCTCGCGCCACTCTCACATCCCCGCCAGCACATGCGAGCGTACGCCGACGAGATGCAAGCACTCGACGCGTTGAAGCCCACGCGGTACGTTAGAGCACCAGGTCGCACAGGCTTGCGGAATCCAGTGCATAAAAGCCGGCGCGCGATCTTTCCAGAAGGCCCAAGGAGCTTCGAAAAGACGCCGCCGTCGACGCGCGTCTTGGGTGCGTTTTGCGCACGGCTTCAGAATCTCGACCTGTCCTAGGTGCACCGTTGGACTAAGTAGGACCGGGCCCCCTCCGCCAAACGACCTTGAAGAGCTCCCCAAGCACTTGAGACCTCAATAAGTAGCTGCGGCGCGCTGCCACGTCATGTCCCACGGAGGGTTCCACGGCCGATTCTCTGGCCACTTGATATCGCCGGCCGCATGGATTGCGGGATTTGCGCCGCATCTCGCCGCCGATGCTGCCGACAACAACAAGGCGTCGACCATCGCGACGACGACGAGCACAAGCCTCAACGCCCAATGCTCTTCCGCCGCCGACGCCGACGCCACCGCGCCACGCGTGTCGATCGCCCATCCCGCGCGAATCTTGGTGCTACTGGGTGTGCTGACGCCAACGACGACGACGACCATATCAACGCTTGCCACCAAGCAACATGCAACGGGGTCATACATTCAACGAAGAGGCTTACTGCTCGAGGTCGCACGCGACCGAAAACGAAGCCGCGAGCGGGTGCGTCCAGCTGTCGCTATACACGTCGACGTGCGTCTCGGGCTGCAGCATCACGACAAAGTCGCCGGCCTCGGCCACGCGCTTGAAGCCGGCGCCAATCTGCGGCGCAAAGACGCTAACGTCGCAAAAGCCAAGCGTCATCGTCACGACGCGGCTCTCGCCAACCTCGAGCGCAATCTTTTCAAATTTCTTGAGCTGCTTGACTTCGGGCACAGCCATCGTCCGGAACGGCTGCGTCACAAAGAGCATGACCACGTCCTTGCCCGCCATGGGGCCCGTGTTGGTCACCGTCACGCGCACGTCGACCGTGTCGTCGACGCTCTCGAGCACCGTCTTGCTCACGCTGAAGTCGCTGTACGCAAAGCTCGTGTAGCTGCGACCAGAGCCAAACGGCCACTCGACGCCAATGTCCTGGTCCGTGATCCGCACCATCGTGCGGCGGTTGTACTGCGCGAGGATGTTGGCATGGTCCTTTGGGTATGTGATCGGGAGGCGGCCGCTTGGGTTGACGTCGCCAAACACAATGTCGGCAATAGCTTGGCCACCGACCTCGCCCGGCAGCATCGCATGCACGACCGCATGCACATCGTCGACGAGGCCGTGGAGGAGGCGCGGGCGGCCCTGAATAAGCACGAGGATGACCTTGGTGCCGGTCGCAGCAATCTGGCGCACATACTCCCGCTGACCGAGAGGCAAGTCGAGGCTCGCAATGTCGCCCGGCTTTTCGCAGTACGAGCCTTCGCCGACCGTCACAATCGTGTACGCGGCCGCCGACGCATGCGCCAAGACCGTGTCCATATCCGAGATGCTACCGTCCGCAGCCAGACCGTTGAAATACGTGGCGGTGGGCGAGAGGCGCGACACGCCGTCCTTGAGCGAGACGCCGTGGGCAAACTGGTGGTTGCCAGAGACGCCCTGCCACTGCACCGTCCAGCCGCCGCAGAGGTACCCGACATTGTCGGCCGCATGGCCCGTGACAAAGACGCTGGCGTCCTTGGGCAGCGGCAGCACATTTTCCTTGTTTTCCAAGAGCACAATCGACTCGTGCGCCATCGCCAGCGCCGCCGCCTTGCCATCGTCGCGGCCGACCATGTTGCCGGCGCCGGGCACCGGCGTCTCGTACAAGCCGAGGTCCACCTTGAGGCGCACAATGCGGGCAACCGACTCGCGCAGGCGGGCCTCGAGCTCGGGCTGCGCAGCGACAAGCGCTTTAGCGTGCTCGATAAACGTCGTTTCGAATGGCACCATGCTCATGTCGATCGAGGTGCGCGTGAGCGCGAGGCGGACCGCGTCGGCCTTGGACTTGGCGACGCGGTGGGCCGTGTGGAGGTTGTTGATCTCGTCCCAGTCCGTCACCACCATGCCTTCGTACTGCATGTCATGGCGCAGCAGGTCGTTCATGAGCTTCGTGTTGATCATGGTCGGCACGTCGTTGACCGACACGTAGTTTTCCATAATGGTCTTGGCGCCGGCTTCGATCGCCATGCGAAATGGCAGTGCAAAGTGGTTCAAAAGCTCGTAATCCGAGATCGTGACCGGGTCCTTGTCGTGGCCAAGGCTGCTCTTCGAGTACCCGATAAAGTGCTTGAGGCACGCGGCCGTCTGCGGGTTGCTCTGCATGCCTTCGACGATCGCGGCGCCCATGACGCCGACCAAAAGCGGGTCCTCGCCAAACGTCTCAAACGTGCGCGGCCACAGCGGGTTCTTGGAGACGTCCAGGATCGGCGCAAAGATCCACGGGATGCCCGCGGCCTCCGTGTCGTAGCCCGTGATGCGGCCCATCTCGCGCACGAGCGCCGGGTTGAACGTCGCCGCGCCGTTGATCTGCTGGCCAAAGACGACCGCGTCGCGCACGTAAATCGCGCCGTGCACCGAGTCGATGCCGTACACAATCGGGTGCCCGTCGTTCTCTTCCATGTGGATCGACTGGATCGTCTCGAGGATGTGGCGCCACTCGTCGGTCGAGTAGCCGAGCTTGCCGTCGGCCGCCGGGCCGCCGTTGAACGGGCTGTTGAGGTACGAGCCAATCTTGAGCTTCGCAAAGTGGCGGACCTTCTCGACGTTGATCGTCTTGTCGTCGTCGTTGAGCAGCATCGAAATGTCGAGCTGCGTCATTTGGCCCACGAGGGCATCGAGGTCCTACGACGCATCATGAAGATGACAGACGACGAGACAGCGTCGGTACCATGGAGGCGACGAGGTCGCGGACGCGCGCTTCGACGTCAGCGTGCTGCGGGGGGTAGACCATGCTAAAGTGCAAATGCCATTCACGTGCCAAGGACGTCGCTGCCCAACGGCAACATCCGAATCCCGCCTGTATCGAAGAGACACGATCGCGACGCCTAATTAGGACGTGCTCACGTGGGTATAACGTGGCCCCCGCCTTGAACTTCAAGCTCGGACCGCGCACCCGCTATCACACCCAGACAGTACGATGCTTCGAGCTATGGCATTGCATGGCGATGCACCATTCCTAGCTGCATTGCCGCGCGATCGTAGCAGCTCAAAGCGACGATCCTGGCGCCGCAGCTGCCACGCATCCAACCGACTTGCGCGACGGAATCTGCTCGTTCTTCGTAGCGTGCAAAGCAGTTGGAGCATTGGCGCCGGCTACTCGGTGGGCCACAGTAGCCAGCGCCAATGCTCCAACTGCTTTACTGCTTTGCTGCAATTCTGATGGGCAGGTGCAGTGCGCGCCCTGTCAACGAATTGCGTGGGCTGTCTGCCCGCCCAAACTGCCGCCGCCCATTCTCTCGGGGTGCCTGCATGGCTCCGCGTCTTCGCGCCGGTAGCTGCCACCAGCTAGCGCTACGGGCTTCGCCGCCTGCCGCCTCCACCCGTCGTACGTCCACGGCGCGGCTCTCGCTCGTGCTGCTTCCAACGTTCTCGCCGTTGCGACGAGGAGCCAAGATCTCGGCGGGCGCCAATGGCCTTGCGGAAGCCCTCGTGTCTTGGTTGTTGTATGTGGCTGGGCAAGCTTATTTAAATACTGTCCGATAGCTTGCATTGAGTATGCTGGTATGTTTTGGAGATAAAAAATAGATTGGGATTTCTAAATTTCGCTTGGAGATGGCAGACGACGGCTACAACCCCGAGAAGTCGCGCATCGCCGAGGACACGCTCGCCGACTTCCTCCGCGCGCCCTTGACGGGCGTCCTCACAGAGGTTCCGGGCATTGGCCCCGCGGCCGCCAAGAAGCTCGCGGGCGGCGACGACGTGGCCGACCAAGTGACCAACACGTTCCAGCTCATTGGCAAGTTCCTCCAGCTCAAGCGCAACGACGACGAGACCGACGAGCCAATCGACTGCCCGACGCACTGCGACGCTTTCTGGCACTGGCTCAAGTCCAAGGGCGTCTCATCGTATCGCAGCGGTATCGTCATGGCGATTGCGGAAAAGGTCAACACGATGGTGCCGGGTGTCTACGACGCCTGCGACTTTAACTAGCTATCAATGTGAGATGTGCTACGCCGACTTGGAGAGTGCTTCGATCTTCATGGCTTGCTCTTGGCTCATACTCGGGTCCACTTGCATGAGCGCCTCCCAGAGCGCGAGCTTACGCGGGCGGTTCAAGCTCACAAACTACACCGATAACCATGACAAGCCTGCACCAGATGAAGGACTACCTTGTCCGTCTCGTCGTGCGACGTGTACCGAAAGGCCGACGACTCGCGCAGCAAGCGGTCAGTCTCAAGCCGCTTGCGGCGAATCTGCAGCTGGATCTGCGCCAGCTGATGGCGATAAACTGACGACCCGGTGAGCGAGACGTTCAAGAGCGGTGGTACCGGCGCCTGAGCAAACTGCGACGATGCCTGCGACGCTTCACGCGGTGGCTGCCATGTCGGTGCTGACTGCGGTGGCTCCAGCGGCGGCTCCAGCGGCGGCGTTGGAGCGCTCTGCGAGCCCAAGTCGGCCTGGATCTGGACGTGGTTGCCCGTATATTGCGTACTCGCATCCTTCATCTCTGCCTTTGGCCGCTCCGGAAGCTCATACTCGCGCACGATTGTGATACGCGGGCGGCTGGCCTCGACTGCTGGCGCCACAGGCAGCGAGGTCGAGGTCGTTGCCACAGGTAGTGTCACCGTGGGCTCCACCAATGGACGAGGAGTTGGAAGCGTCGGTGCTGGCGCGATCACGGCAGGCACCGGAATCGGCGCCATGACTGCAGGTGATGGTGCGACGACAAGATCGACGGACGCCTCTTGAAACGACTCGTCGTCGTACGCAGGTGCCTCGTCCTGTGCCGGCGCGGCGGGCTCGCTCGCGGCAAACGACTCGTCGCCATAGTCTTCGCTCGGCTCCTTGGTGACGCGCTCGACGACGGGCTCGCTGATTGCGAAGGACTCATCTCCGTAGTTGTCATCGTCGCTCGTGTCAGTGACCATGGGCTGCACCGCGCTCGGCGTCGCGATAGTCGTCGTCGCAGCCTTAGGGCCATCGTCGTAGTCGTCTTGGGAAAACTCCATCGAGTAGTCGAACGTTGGTGGCTCGCTGGCTTTGGGTGGCACTACAGTGGTCGTGGTGGTTGCATCGTCGTCCTCTTCCTCGACCATTGACGCCTCGTCGACCACGTCGTCGTCGTCATAGACGTCGCTTCCCTCCTCTTGCTTGGGTAGAGTCAGAGTGGGTTTGGCCGCTGGAACATAAGTCGGCGGCGGGTCGTCCTCGGACGCATCGTGGAACGACGGCGGGTCCTCGTCGTCGCTGTCGGCGGCTGGTCGCGCTCTCTCGACGACTGGATGCGTCGACGGAGCTGGCTGCACCTTGGGCACCGCTGTCGGAACCGTAATTGTCGGTTGCCGTGCCGGCTCGTCCTCGGACTCGTCCATGCTAATGTCGTCGAGCGTGACCTTGGAGCGCGTCGGCGGCGCGTCCAAGCTGTCGCTCACATCGTCGTCGTAACGCGACACTGGCGCCTTCTTGGGCGGCTCCACGGACGCCTCGTCCTCCTCATCGTCGTCGTCGCTGTCGTCCAAGGTCACGCGCCTACCAAACGTTGCAATACATCTACGAGAGAAGCATCTCGTACCGCCGCGCAGGCTTCTCGATCGGCTTGGAGTACTTGGAGAGAAAATTCTTGGCCTTATCAAGGGCGTTCGACTGACTTGCCGCCTTGGCCGGCGCGGCTTTGGCCTTCGCTTTGACTTTGGCTTTGGCTTTTGGCGGCGAGACCGACGCATCCGCCTCACTCCCGTCGTCGCTCGACTCGTTGGACGCGTCGTCGTACTTGGACTTGGCGCGAGAAGCGCCAGGAATGTCGATGGTAAAGTTGTACGGGTCGTCGTCGGCCATTATTGTATGTGGCGCTCGTCAAATGCAGTTGGCACGTCCCTCCAAGATCGCATCGGTGCCGTTTCTTTGCCCAAATTGCGCGCCATATATGGGCACCGGCATCGCGGTGCAGCTTGTCCTCTTGCTCGTCCTGAACGCAGTCGTTTGTATCACGCGAAATGCAATGATCAAAGATCAATGCTCTGCTTCAACTAGTGTTTCGATTTGCCACCTGCTGCTCGGTGCTCGAGACGGCTCTAGTGAAATGCGCGCCGTGCTGCAGCCTCCGCCTGCATCAAGTAAAGGTGTTCTGCGGGCTGCGGGATGTGGGACGAGGTATCGATCAAGGACTGCGATTGTGTTTTGAAGGTTTTGATTGATGGGTTTTATTCGAGTGTAAACTACTAAAATGGAAAAGATGCCTCAGCTGGTACCCGAAATTTTTTCCACACGACGGAATTCAGAGGTATATGTTGTTTAGTTGAGATCGTCATTGGCATTTGGACGCAGTATATGCAATGGTGTGTACGGAATTCATCAGATCATCGTAGTCTTTTATTGTATCCCCATGACTTGAGTCGGAATAACCATATAAAAAGTGGATCATCACACGAAGCAGTAGAAAACCTCAGGAAACTGTTGTCCTCATCACTCAGACATACGCTTGTTTTCAACCATCATTGGTTCCCTTGGACGCTACCTATGACTTGCTACCTACAACAGCGAATTCGAAATGAACATCAGCGTGAATTTCCAAAGAAATGACTGGCTACGCTCTACGCGGACCACCGATTGGCCAGTATTCAAGCGATCTGTGGTTGGTAGAATTATAAAACATTATGGCCAATAGAATACCGTTATTTTGCGAGCCAATCACATCCGACGGTTTCGTAAACCAGCCAATGACTGCAGCCCCCGCCAAATCGCTCCCACACCAAGCCTATAGCTCAGAGCCACAGGCGATCTTGACAGTGATCCAAGAGACTGGAGCGACGATAAGCGCGAGCTTCTCGGAGCACTGTCAAAAACGCTTGGGTTTACACCTCAAGCAATATCCGAGTAAGCGCTTGGTCGACCAAGTACAACAGCTGAGTAAAGGTGGCCCTTCCTCACTGCCGTCCGAGCAGACCCGCTAAGCGTCCTTTGGTCTTTGTAAAAAGAAACGTGGAACTTTACGCCCTATCGATTGGCTTGCACAAACAGTCGCGTCCTAGATTGCTCAAGCTTGCGCAAAGTATGGTGCTTGGATATGCCACCATCGTCCTTAACGTTCGAAAAGAAGGCGGCGCAAAGGTTGCCGACGCGAGATACGTTATATAGCGTTCGAGTAATGGGACTGTAGAAGACCATGAAAGTGCGGTGCGACGACCGACGACTCCATCTCGCATTTTGCGCCCCAGAGCTCACTTCGATCTCTGCCTTCTCCGTCGTCGGTGTCTGTCCCCCGCCTCGTCTTATCAACTATGAAGCTTTCTCGTGTCGCAGTCGTTGGCCTCCTCTTTGTCGCCGCCCGTACCGTTCAAGTCAACGCCCAAGAATCTTCCGATAACAACCTATCGACCGGCTCCGAGGGCGCTGCGTCGACGTCGTACACCCCCTCAACTGACGACACCAAGTCATCCTCGACTGGCCCGGCCCCGATCGTCGACGTCATCCAGGCGGCGGTTGAAGCCGGTGCCACGCCCCAGCAAGCCGCTGTCATCGCTGTCGCGGCCGACACGGGTGCCAGCTTCAGCGCTATCATCGAAACTGCGATCGCTACTGGCGTTGACCCGTCGATTGCCGCTGCAGTCGCATCGGCTGCCAACTCGGCGGCGGGCTCGGGTGCCGATGCCGTCACCAGTGCTCCTATCACAGACGTGATCGAAGCCGCCCAAGATGCTGGTGCGTCGCCGGCCCAGGCCGCTGCGGTTGCCGATGCTGCGTCGTCGGGCGTCACGGGCAGCGACCTTGTTGCCGTTGCCTTGGCGGCCGGTGTCAACCCGTCGGATGCCGTGAGCGTCGCCAGTGCTGCGAGCAGTGCGGCTGGCGCACCAGCTCCGATCGCCGAGATTATCCAGGCCGCACTTGATAACGGGGCCAGTCTTGGCCAGGCCGCGGCAATTGCCGTCGTCGTCAACTCTGGCGGCTCGCCCGACGATGTCCAAGCCGCCATTATTGAAGCAGGTGCACCTGCCTCGGTAGCGTCCTCCATTGCCTCAGCCGTGGCTTCTGCAATTGCGTCGGCTTCCGGTTCGGAGAGCGGCAGTCTCTTCGTCTATGACTCGCCGATCGAAGATCTCGAAGAGCCTATGATTGCACCAATGGTCGGTGGCTGGGGCAGCATTGACCATCTCTGGTGGGACAACCAAGACGTCGTGCAATCGGCAACGGATGCTGGAGCAACTGAAAGCCAAATCCGCTCGATTCTTTACGATGTGACGAACACCTCGACGAATGACGAGATCACTTCTGCCGTCATTGCTGCCGGTGTGGACACGGACCTTGTTCCATCTGTCGCATTGGCTTTCCAGTCTACGTGGCACCCATCTGAGCATGTCGTCTCGTCCTATGGCACCGACTCGTCGACCGATGCTACGCCTGCCCCGGTGCTTGAAGTCATCCAGGCGGCGATTGAAGCTGGTGCCACGCCCCAGCAAGCCGCTGTCATCGCTGTCGCGGCCGACACGGGTGCTAGCCTCGACGCCATCGTCGAAACGGCCATCGCTGT